TACTTTGCACCTACAAAGTGTTAGGCATGTTGTGTACATCACATGGTACAAACCCCCCCAAAACTCAATTTTAATTCCAGGTTGTGATGCAATAGAACAGGTAAAACACCAAGGAGGGGAATACATGTATTAATTACCAACGAGTCAGTGCTTTAGAAATGCGATATTTATTTATATTTCTGGTTTCTTTTTTTAGGTCACCTTTAGTGAAAAAAGGCAGATGGGTGCAGCTGCGTGCACGCATAACATTGGGAATACCTGCCAAAGCGTAAAAAAATGCTTTTTAGTTGGTCGCATTCCTGTTTGAGGACAGCATATAGATGTATTTGTGAGAAATTAAGCAGAACCAGTCTATGACTTTGATAAGAACTCGCAAGGAGGCCATTGTGTTCACAAATACTTCCATTGGATCATAGTTACATAGTATTTGGGGTTGAATAAAGACATACGTCCATCAAGTCCAACCCCTATAGGTCCACGCATCATCTCATTCTTAGGAATACTTGTATCCCTGAATATTACGGTCCCTCAGGAAATCGTCCAAAAGTTTCTTGAACAAATCTACACTCTTTGCTGAAATCACCGCCTGTGGCAGTGAGTTCCAGACCCTAACCACTCTCACTGTGAAGAACCCCCTTCGCCCCTCGTGCTGGAATTTTTTTTCCACCAACTTTAGGTGGTGGACTCTAGTCTTTGTAATGGAGTTAATCTTAAAGAGTTTGTTGCCAATGTTGCTATCACCATTGAACATCTTGTACATGAAAATCATATCCCCCCTTAATCTCCTTACTTCCAGCGTGAACATGTTTAAGTTCAGAAGCCTTGTCTCATAGCTCTGGTCCTCCATTCCCCTAATTAGTTTGGTTGCCCTCCGCTGGACTCTCTCCAGTTCAAGGACATCCCTTCTCAGTACCGGCGACCAAAACTGGACGGCGTACTCCAGATGTGGCCAAACCAACGATCTATATAGTGGCCCAATTATAGACTTGTCTCTGCAATACATCCCCTTCTTAATACAGGACAAGACCCTGCTAGCTTTGTTTACTGCAGCCTGGCACTGCAGGCTACCATTCAGTTTGTGGTCTACAATGACCCCCAAATCTTTTTCTATTTCTGACTTCCCCAGCAGCATACCCATGATGGTATAGACCAATTGTTTATTTTTATTTCCAAAGTGCATTACTTTGCATTTATCGACATAAACCTCATCTGCCATATTATTGCCCACTCCCCTATTTTATCCAGGTCCTCCTGCAATGTTATATTGTCACGATCCGTTTCTAGTACCCTCCCTATTTTTGTATCGTCTGCAAACACGGAAACATGGCTATTTATTCCCTCCCCGATATCATTAATCAGATTAATGATTATGAACACTACACACTACCAGGACCGCATTTACTTTCTCTGCTGCCCCAATGCCAGGTTCTTCAATGCACCCCCCGTATGTAGGCTACATACCAGTGATCTCTACGACATCAGCGAGATCACTTGTACAGAACAAGTGGTGGCTTCCCCGCTTTACATTTAGCCCTGCTTGCCCAAAGCAGGGCTAAAGGTAGAAAACAACTACTCACCCGGTGCCTGGAACTGCATGTCCAGAGCTTCAGGAGATAGGTATTCCACACATTTGCTGCCCCTCTACTCCCTGCTGCCCAAAGGCCGGGCCTCGGTTGGCCTTGTGGGAAATCCGGCCCTGCACACTACCACAACAGGCTGCAAATACTGACTGCCACACCCCTGTGTGGCATGAAATATTTATCCTTTTCAATCTTTACCTAACATTTATATTTTTTATCAATGAACTGACGCTTTCATATCAGGTGATATTTTACTGAAGAGGTCACGTGACCATATTGTCACATGCGATAAAGTTTAGTGAGTTGAGCCCAATGTGTCCTTGGCATACACTGAAGTCAGTCTAGGCATCTGTTGGGGAGGAGGGGCTAATAGAGGCAGTAATATTTGGGCAGATGCAGCTGCAGACAGGAACGGGTAGCTCTGTGCTCATGTCAGGCAATGCTAGGTCTCAGCCAGATGTAAGACAGTTGTGCGATGAGAGAGGATCTAAAGCAGAGGCTGGCTCAGTGACCTGGCAGAGCTCTGTGCCCAGTTCGGCAATCAGGCAGAGCCCTGTGTCTGGCTTGGTGATCAGGCAGAGCCCTGTGTCTGGCTCAATGATATGGCAGAGCCATGTGTATGCCTACCTGATTTGGCAGAGCTGGTAATCAGGATTTCTGCCCAGCTCGCTGATCAGACTCTATTCTCGGCTCGGTGATCTGACAGAGCCATGTGCCCCGGCTTGGTGGTTTGGCAGAGCTCTATGCACGGCTATGTAATCAGGCTGGCTCAGTGGTCTGGAAGAGCTCTATGCCCAGCTCAGTGATCTGGCACAGCCTTGTGCCTGATTTGGTGAGCTGGCAGGGCACTGTGCCCAGCTCGTTAATCTGGCAGAGCTGTATGCCCAGCTTGGGGATCAGTCTCTGTGCCTGGCTTGGTGATCTAGCAGAGCCGTGTGCACGCCTTGCTGATCTTGCACAGCTGTATTCAGCTCGGTGATCTGGCAGAGCTGTGTGCCCAGCTTGGTAATTAGGCTCTGTGCTTCACTTGGTGATCTGGCAGAGCCATGCACCTGGCTTGGTGATCTGGCAGAGCCGTGTGTTCAGCTTGATGATTTGGCATAGCTGTGCAAGGCATAGTGATATGGGAGAGCTCTATGCCCAGCTCAGTGATATGGCAGAGCTGTATACGCGGCTCAATGATATGGCAGAGCTCTATGCCCGGCTCAGTGATATGGCAGAGCTCTGTAGCCAGCTTGGTGATAAGGCGGGACTCTATGCCCATCTCGGTGATATGGCAGAGCTCTATGCCAGGCAATATGGCACAGCTCTATGTCCAGCTCACTAATATGGCAGGGCTCTGTGCCCAGCCCAGGTGATATGGCAGGGCTGTATACCCAGCTCAATGATATGGCAGAGCTTAATGCCCGGCTCAGTGATATTGCAGAGCTCTGTAGCCAGCTCGGTGATATGGCAGGGCTCATGCCCATCTCGGTGATATGGCAGGGATCTATGCCTGGCTTGGTGATATGGCAGGGTTCTGTAACCAGCTTTGAGATATGTCACGGCTCTATGCCCAGCCCAAGTGATATGGCACAGCTCTATGCCCAGCCTAGGTGATATAGCACACCTCTATGCCCAGCCTAGGTGATATAGCACGGTTTTATGCCCAGCCCAGGTGATATGGCAGAGCTCTATGCCCAGCCCAGATGATATGGCAGGGCTCTGTAACCAGCTCAGTGATATGGCAGGGCTCTATGCCCGGCGATATAGCAGAGCCGGGCATAGAGCTTGGCGATATGGCGTGGCCCTATGCCCAGCTTGGTGATGAGGCAAGGTTCTATGCCTGGGTCGTTGATATGGCAGGGCTCTGTAACCAGTTCAGTGATATGGCAGAGCTCTATGCCCAGCTCAGCGATATGGCAGGGCTCTATGCCCAGCTTGGTGATATGGCAGGGCTCTATGCCTGGCTTGGTGATATGGCAGAGCTCTATCGCCGGCTCAGTGATATGGGAGGGTTCTGTAACCCGGCTTTGAGATATGCCACGGCTCTATGCCCAGCCTAGGTGATATGGCACGGCTCTGTGCCCAGCCCAGGTGATATGGCAGGGCTCTATGCCCATCTCAGTGATTTGGCAGGGCTCTATGCCTGGCTTGGTGATATGGCAGAGCTCTATCGCCGGCTCAGTGATATGGGAGGGTTCTGTAACCCGGCTTTGAGATATGCCACGGCTCTATGCCCAGCCTAGGTGATATGGCACGTCTCTATGCCCAGCCCAGGTGATATGGCAGAGCTCTATCGCCGGCTCAGTGATACGGGAGGGTTCTGTAACCCGGCTTTGAGATATGCCACGGCTCTATGCCCAGCCTAGGTGATATGGCACGTCTCTATGCCCAGCCCAGGTGATATGGCACAGCTCTATGCCCAGGTAATATGGCAGAGCTCTATGCCTGGCTCATGATATGGCAGGGCTCTGTAACCGGCTTCATGATATGGCAAAGCTCTATGCCCAGGTGATATGGCAGAGCTCTGTAACCAGCTTGGTGATATTGCAGGACTCCATGCTCGGCGATATAGCAGAGCCGGGCATAGAGCCTTGCTCGGTGATATGGCAGAGCTCTATGCACAGCTTGGTGAGATGGCAAGGCTCTATGCCCAGCTCTGTGATATGGCAGGGCTCTATGCCCGGCTCGGTGATATGGCAGGGCTCTATGCCTGGCTCGGTGATATGGCAGAGCTCTATGCCCAGCTTGGTGAGATGGCAAGGCTCTATGCCCAGCTCTGTGATATGGCAGGGCTCTATGCCCGGCTCGGTGATATGGCAGGGCTCTATGCCTGGCTCGGTGATATGGCAGAGCTCTATGCCTGGTTTGGTGATATGGCACGGCTCTGTAACCAGCTTGGTGACATGGCAGGGCTCTATGATTTGGCAGGGCTCTTTAACCAGCTCGGTGATATGGCAAAGCTCTATGCGCGGCTTGGTGATATGGCAGGGGTCTATGCCCGGTTCAGTGATATGGCAGGGCTCTGTAACCAGCTTGGTGATATGGCAGAGCTCTATGCATGGCTCGGTGATATGGCAGGGCTCTGTAACCAGCTCGGTGATATGGCAAAGCTCTATGCGCGGCTAATGATATGGCAGGGCTCTGTAGCCAGCTCAGTGATATGGCAGAGTTCTATGCCCGGCTCGGTTATTTGGCAGGGCTCTGTAACCAGCTCGGTGATATGGCAGGGCTCCATGCCCGGTTTGGTGATATGGCAGGGCTCCATGCCCAGTTTGGTGATATGGCAGGGCTCCATGCCCAGCTGTCATATGGCAGGGCTCCATGCCCAGCTCTGTGATATGGCAGAGCTCCATGCCCGCATCAGTGATATGGGAGGGCTCTATGCCAGGTTTGGTGATATGGCAGGGCTCTGTAACCAGCTTGCTGGCAGCCCCGAGCCGCCTCCATACTAACGAGTCCTCACAGCGATCCCGGGGAGGGAGCGAACCATGCCGGGCATGATGGACAAAGGCACCGAATTCCTGGGCAAGAGCCGCTCCAATGGCACCAAGAGCCCGTCCAGCGCCTCCAACGGGCATTACTCCGAGGAAAGCGGCAGCGACGACGAGCACGGTGGTAGCCTCGAACTGTGTGAATGAGCCTCGAACGGAGTGAATGCTGAACACCCCCCTCCCCTTTTCCCCCGGGCTGAGTGTGAGTGTCGGTCCGCGCTGCCCGCTATAGCGTCTCCTGTTTTTCCTTTGCAGATGTGGGCATGAGGGTGGGAGCCGATTTCCAGGCCCGGATCCCGGACTACGAGCCCGGTGAGTGGCCATTTTGTGTGTGTGTGGGTCTGCGGCTGGTGGTAGCCTCGGCAGAGGTGGGCGGGGCTCCGAGCAGTCAGGGGATCCCAGCTGCAGAGCCCTCATCATACATGGCCGGTCATTTCTATTGTGTGTGTGTCCCTATGACCAGAGAAATGTCTATTGTATTATCACTGTTATTGATCCCTGACGGATAACCTCCATCGACTCCATCACATACGATAGACGGCGAGCGTTTACAGCGAGCGCGTTTGCTGTTATGTGTTCGTGCACGATGGCGAGTGGACAGCCCGGCGCAGACCTTTTCACTGAAAAACGATGATAAAAATACCACCCGACCGATTTCCTGATTCCTGAGAGCAATAGGTCGGGGTGCCTGGTGGAACGCACAAACGGTTGTCTAATGTCTATGTAGAAGAACGCACCGGTTGACTTATTCAGGTCATCGGTATTCGACGGGGCCGTCAGCATCCGTGGCTGCTATAGACGGGACATGACGGGTGGACGATCCCGCTACCGCATGATCACATGACATTGTAGCACCAATCAGTGATGGCGTAGAACCAGTTCGGACAAGCCCGCTCAAAATTGTGACCCCCCCCATCCTCCTAACCCAATCAGTTGCAGAGAGGCGCATAGCACACCTTGCAGCTATACACCACAAAGGGGTAAAGAATGCCCCC